CACTCCTGTCCTCATACCAGCCCTCTCGGAAGCTCCTTTTCCAGCCTCTACTACACATCTCTTAGCTCCTCCTTGCTCAGCATCTCAGCCTCCCTACTCTGCTCTCTGTTCCCTCTACCCACCTGAATTAATAAGTAAGTTTCCTCCTCTGTGGAGTCACTTCTGGGGAAACTAAGGCACAAAGCAGTCTTGCTGTGTTCTTCCCAGTGAACCTGGACTGGAACCAGGTCCTGGACCTGCTGGGACTCCTCCCCTGCCTTTAGTCCCCTGATGGTTCTCATCCCTGGCTTGGCCAGGCTCACAGCTGCTTCTTGGTATAACATCCGGAATGGCCCCGGGAAGTGTTCTCCCGAGGTCTCTGTGTTCCTTAACTTGAGCCCAGGGATGGGTGTCTCTCTGGCCACCAAGTCTTAAGCTGTGATCCTGAGGCTGAGAAGGTTGCATTCAGGTCTTGCACTGACTATTCCAAGAATCTAAACTGGTCGCTCCGCTTTTATGCTGGAGCTCAGTTTCCCCATCAGTAAAATGACCACAGAGGAGGAGATGGATCGGTGGGGGCTCTTATGCCGACCACTTCCTTCAGGAACAATGGACCCCAGCTTTCATCCTGGTCTGGGAATGAGAGTTGGAACTTTCTCTTCGTCCGTCCTCTCCTCAATTCGGATATGAAGCCCTTGGAAGTGAGAAACGCATGTGTGATGGGCGTACGAGCGGGGACCCTCCTGTAGCTGCAGGCGTCCTTGCCCAAGGCCAAAGCCTGCGTAACCCCTGGCATCTCTTTGTTTTCCTTCTCCTGACCTTTCATTTTAAGAGCTAGTAATTTTGAAGTTGGCAGGGGTCTGAGAGAAGATGAGCTAATGCAAGGCCCAGGGTCACCCAGCCAGGGAATGGCAGGCTGAGCAGGGCTGGGACCAGACCTTCTAACTCTGCCCATGCCCATTCTCCTGGCCTTCTTCTCCCCTGGCCTGGCTCAGGTCCTGCCCATGCCCCCTTCACGCCTCGGCCCTGACCTGTCCTCAGTCGGCGTTGAGACTGGGGCCTGTAGTGGGGTGTGGGGTATTGCTGGAAACAGGGCCGGGGTAAGGCGTGGGAGCTGGCCTCTGTCCTCCCCAAGGCTCTGGGACTGTGCGTTTATGTGTTGGATTTGTTCACTAGATGGGGCACTTCCTCTGGGGCAGGAAGCTTTGATTTCCTGTGGTGGGGATGCTGGTAGGATTAGAAGCGGGGGACTCAGCTCTGGGCCATCCCTGATGTTGTTGTTTGGAACCAAAAGGGGCAGAGTTTCTGCATAAGGCTGCTTTCCCTCACCCAGGGGAGGCAGGAAGGAGAGCATTGGTGAGGAGGCCTAGGCTAAGGCCAGAGGAGGAGGCCAAGAAGGCAATGAGATGGGGGGTGGGCAACACAGCAGGAAGCCTGGTCAGCAGGTGACCCTACCGGGTATTGTGTTTCCCTGTGATATTTCCCCCTGTTTCTGTGGCAACCTTCCCTGGGGGACCCAGGCTTTCGAGCTGCAGGAAAATGCCCCCAGACAGCCCTTTCCTTAGAGGTCTGAGTATTAGGAGGAGTCCCTCAATCTGGCCACCTCCTTTGCCATTTTGGCGCCTAGGCCCAGGGCTTGGGAATCTAGGCAAGTGGGTTGAGCGAGCACTGGGGGTCGGGGTGGGGGGCTGGGCTGGGTGGAGGCCCTTTTGCACCTCCCCGGGGGGACGGGAAAGAGAGGGCCTGCTGGACTTTGGGGAGGGCTCTGTGCCTCCCCTCATCCCATCTCCCCACTGTCCTCCAGCAGCTCTCCCCCTTCGAAGGGGGAGCTGGACAGCATGCTGCCTGGGGCAAGGGGTCGGGGGTGGCAGAGGCGGGAGGGATGTTTTCATCAGCAGAGCATAGCTCCTTTGGTCCTGGACCAGTTCCCAGAGGCAAAATAAATTCAGGATAGTGTCTGTTTAGTGTGGGTCAGCATGTGATGGGTGTGTGTGCACACTGGGTATGTGGTGGTGGGCCTGCACGTGTGCCCCTGGGCTGTGTATGTAGAGGTGGCGATCCACGTGGTGGCTCTCTGTTGGGTGTCTGGGGAACACGCACACGTGTAGTGCAGATGTGTGTC